GGAAGGAAGTCCCCCACACACCCTGGGGATCACTGGGTAGGCCCAAAGTGAAGCCCGTTTGCCATTTCCTGCTGAGTCATTGCCCACTCTTTTTCCTAGTGTAGGTGTCCCCCAGATCCTACCGACAGTCCCTTTGGCAGGACGAGGTCATCCCCATTTTCCTAGGGGCTGACCTAGGAAGGTCGCCTGGATTCCCTAGGTCACATCTAGAAGACCCTAGGACCCAAGCTTGCTCTCTATCCGTGCTTCTCCCTCCCAGTGGCCCCTGTCTCTGTTCTTGTCCCTGGAGTAGCTTCAAGCTCCATCCCTTCCTTGGCTCCAGGAGGTACCAGCACCTAAGGGTCCACTTTCCTACAGGTGGAAAAGCACCCACCTGGATTGTGCGTCTAGGTGGACATCAGGTGAGTTGAGCTGATGCATAGACTTTTGGAAAATGGGTCTGGTGAATTGATTTATTGAGACATGGCATCACTCAGGGCAGGTGACCTGTGATCTTACTCTGTTTGCATATAGCAGAACACTGGAGGCTCGTAATTTCTAAAGGAAACAAGTTAATTTGAGCTCACAGTAGAGGCCGAAAAGTTGAAGAATATCGAGCTGGTGTGGCCCCATGGTGCCCACTCATGCCAGAAAGAAGAGTCAGTGAACACTGGTGCAAGAGGGACAGAGGGTATTAGATGCTGTGTAACAGCTTGTTCTTGGAGTAACTAAGCCTGTATCTTGGGAATGACCTTAATCACCGTGGTTCTCAATGTGTGGGTTGAGACCCCTTAGGGGGGTGTCAAATGACCCTTTTGCAGGGGTCACCTAAGACCCTTGGAAAACAGATACTTACATTGCGATTCACAACAGCAAAATGACAGTTCTGACACAGCACAGCATGCGGGACTGTAAAGGGCCAAAGCATTGGGAAGGCTGAGAACTACTTCTTAATTCCTTCGTGAGGGTGGAGACCCAGTGCCAACCACAGCTTAAGGGCCCTGCCCCATCTCAGTACCGTTGCATTAACAGTTAAAATTCGATCTGAGCTTTGGCGGAACAACACATCCAAACCATCGCATGCGCCCCTTCTGGCTCTGGGTTCTCATCTGCATCATGGGGTCACCCTGGAAATCCATCAGAGCATGGATCCCTCTCAGGAAGGACTCTTGCAATTCAAATTGCCAGGATATCTGGACATTTGCATGTGGACTGGAACCGTGGGCCTGGGTAGAGAAAAGAGAACCACACAGGCTGAGAAAGAGCCCCTGGTCGTGGTCCACACGGAAGAGGAAGACCCAAGCACACAGCTCCTCCTCAGACCAGGACAAATAGCAGGCGCGGAGATGTCAAAGTGGGCGTGGGGCCCGGTGTGGCGGCCGCGAAGGTGGGGATGGTGAGGGTTGCTGGCTTCTGTTCTCTTCTAGGGCGTGCTCCCAGTGGGACCTTTAACCTTGGCTGGTCCACACACATAATAGGGGCATCTCTCAGGGAAGGGAACATCTTGGGGGCTCAGAAAAGACAAGCACCCTGCTCAGAGTCGATCACTTGACCTTTCTTTGCCGTGAGACTTTCATGTGCCCTCCTTACCCCTCTCTCTCTTCCCTATCCCTCTTGCCTATCTTCCTGTCCTCCGGCCTTCCTCCTTTCTCCCAGGATGAGCTCAGCCCTCCCAGCTGAGTCTGTCCACCCATAGGCTGAGCTCTTACAAAGAGGAAGGAAGATGGTGGGGGGTAGGAGTGTTGGCACTCCCCTATGTGGAGTATGCTCTCAGGCCAGCCAGTGGATGCCTGGGCAAGAGGGACAACTCTTGAGTTCCATAGAAGCTTGGGAATATGGGACTCACTGAGTGGTCTGTGGGGCTGTTTGCCCAGTGTTCCTCTGTGTGTGTGTATGTGTGTGAGAGTGTGTCTGTGAGTGTGCCCATGAGTGTGTCTGAGTGCATGTGTGTTTGCTGTATCACTTCTCTGTTGCTGTGGTAGGATAGCACAACCAAAAGCCACTTACAGAAGCAAGAGTTTATTGTGGCTTATGGTTGCAAAGAGATGGAGTCCTTCGTGATGGGAAAGGTGTGGTGACAGCTGGGAGCTGATCACATTTTTATCTACACACAGGGAGGGGGAGGGGAGAGGGTAGGTAAGCACACGGGAAGGGTTGGGACTACAGACCCTGAAATCCCACCTCCAGTGATGCCTCCTCTCCAGCAATGCTCTGCCTCCCTTCCCCAAACAACACCACCAGCAAGGAACAAGTGTTCAAATGCATACCCCTGTGGGAGACAGCTCTGAATTAAACCACCACTACATTTAGCCTCTGACACCCGTGGGCTCATGGTCATATCCTAATGCAGAATTCAGGTAAGCTTCAAAAGTCCCCATAGTCATTAGCAATCTCAACACTTCAAAAGTCCAAAGCCCCTTCTGAGACTTTAGGCAGTTTCTGAATAGTGATCCCCTATAAAATAGGGGAAAAAACCAGCAACAAATCGTATACTTCCAACAGACCATGGCATGGATATATATTCTCATTAGGGAGACATGGGGACATAGTGAGGAAAGATTGGACCAAAGAAAAACAAACCAAAAAAAAAAAACACACACAAAGGCCAAAACAACAACAACAAAAATGCCCAAGTCCTGTGCATCGCTGTCTACTAACTGGGGCTTCAGTTTCAAAGGCTTAGAGGCTCCTTCCTAAGCTGCCTGTAACACATCTCCCTTGGATTGGCTGCACTTCTTGGACCAAGTTCTGATTGACAGATGTCTCATGGCTCTGGCATCTTCAACATCTTGGGGTCTCCATAACCCAGGCTTCACCTTTACAGCTTCGGGCAGTGGCTTCTCCGTGTCTCCTCGAAGAGACTCACAAACAGCCACCAGTTGCAATGGCTACCTCCAACCACGGAGGAAGGACCCATGGCTCCCTTAACCTTGCTGGTAGGTGTGGCTGCCAGCCTGGTGTTGGGCCATGGTTGCATCAGCTTTTGTCTGTCGTTGGTTTCTAGTTGGAGCATGGAAGGCATTAGTGCAGACAGCGGAGGCCCAGCTCATGAGGTTTCAGAGGGGAACAAGGACTGGGTAAGCAGCTGTGTAGAGACCATTGCTGTGATAATTTGTGGAGGATTGCATGGCGCTGGCTGAGTCTACAGCGTGCTTATCCTGATGGTCTGTATGGAGCTCCACAAAGAGCAATGAATGAGGCTGAAGGACAGGAAAAGTGTGCAGTTTGGGGGTGAAAAGTGAGACCTTTAAGACCACAGTGAAGCCCACTGTGGAGAAAGAGGCCATGACCTAGCTCCGAGGTAGCACCACTGAGGAGAGAGACCACCTCGGATGGGGATGGTAGGAGGCACCTTGGGGCAAGAACCAGTCCAGCTAAAGCTCTGTGACCAAGTATTCAAATGCATGACCCTTTGGTGATGTTTCTCATTTAAACACCCTGCTCCTACTGTCATGTGCCCTCCGAGAGCCCAAAACATATGTGTACATGTATGTTATGTATGTACATACATATGCACAGACACACAATTTTAAAATTTCACTTACGTTTTAAGCTTTGTTCAATGTTTCCTCTTTTTGAGACAAGGCCTCAGGTTGACCTCAAATGCACTGAGAGTGGACAGTGACCTTGAACTTGTGGTCATCCTGCCTCCACCTCCTCAGTTCTGGGATTATAGGCGTGAGTACCCACCCCTTGATTCGTGAGGTACTGGGGATTGGAACCAGGACTCCATGCTTGCTTGGCAAGCCCTCTGCTCGCCGAGGTACATCCCCAGCCCTAAGGTTTACTCCGTCTTTCTAGTCTTGTAAATTACATCACTTAAGCAGTGTGCGCCAGCTGGTTTTATGTCCGGTTGATGCAGGCTTCAGTCATCTGAGACGAGGGAGCCTCAGTTGAGAAAATGCCTCCGTAATTTCAGGCTGCAGGCAAGCCATAATTTCCTTATTGGTGGCTGATGTCAGAGGGTTCATCCATTGTGGGTGAGGCCACCCCTGGCTGGTGGTCCTGGGTCCTGTAGGAACTCAGGCTGAGCAAGCCATGATGAGCAAGCCAGTGAGCAGCACCCTCCACGGCCTCTGCATCAGTTCCTGCCTCCACGGCCTTTGCATCAGCTCCCGCCTCCAGCTTGCTGCTCCGCTTGAGTTCCTGTCCTGACTCCGTTCAGTGATGAACAGTGATGTGGAAGGCTTCCTCTCCTAACCCAACGTTTCTTTTGACCATGGTGTTTCCTCACAGCAAATGTAACCCTAACGAAGACAGTGGGGGATTGCTGTGTCAGACCTGACCGCGTTGTTTTTGGGAGGGTTGTGGGAGGACTTTGGAACTTTGGGGTAGAAAAGCCACCGAGTGTTGAGAGCTCAGTGGGCCGTTCTGTAGGAGCGTGGCCGACACACATGTCGGGGGCAGTGCAGAGGATGGTGAAGGTCCAGGGGAAGCAAAGACTCCACCAGGCCACTCGGGGCTGAAGAATCGGAGAGACTCGAACCACTACAGTGAAACCTGTATTTCACTGGGAAAACTGACGCTGGCCAGCTGGAGCTAAGAAATTAGCAGTGACTTAAGAATTGGCCAGAGTCACTGAGGTGAAATCTTTCCGGGGAGTGCTTCCCGAGAGTCAGCTGTGTTTGATGCGGCCAAAGCTCCCCCTGTGCTGCCGGCTGAACTTGATAATCTCGGACCACCCAGGTGGGTGCTGGTTTTCTCGGTATGAAGGGGTCTGGAGAGCAGCTGAGGCACAGTTTCTCTACTGTGAGTCTTTGGCCCTTGATAACCCTGCCCTTTACAGTCAGCGGGAGAGAGAACATGGACTCCACGTGGTCTCCAGAGTTGGCACAGGCCCAGGACCTCAGCATGGAGCCTGGGCGTTTTAAAGAGACTGGATTTTTAAGCCTTTGGACCTTTGAGGAGGGACGAGGCTCTGAGCCTGCCTGCCTGATGGCAGGGTTTGGGTCCCGTGGCTGAGGGCCGAGGGTCTCAGTTGCTCGCCCATCATCATCTGCTGGCCCTCCGTTCTTACCTCCTTACTGCATGTGCTTCTCCATGAGGCTGCTTGCTTCCTGAGGAGGCCCACAAAGGACAGAGAATCCCAGCAGGCGGGACCGCCAGTCCTGTGTGATGTGATCACAGAGGCCTCATCCCTGACATTGGCCACTTGGCCTATTCTAAGGGAATCATTGGTTCTGCTCAGTGACCTGCTACCCCTGCAAAATGACGGTCCTTCATGAACTTTTGAGACAAGATCTCATGTAGCCCAGACTGATCCCAAACTTGGCTGTGTAGCCAAGAATGACCTGGAATTTCTGATCCTCTGGCTGCCGGGATCACAGGTGTGCACGACTGTATCTGGTTTATGTGCTGCAGGGGATTGAACCCAAGGCTTCATATGTGCCAGCAAGCACTCTACAGGGTAACAAACCTAGGCCACAGAAGGCTCATCGGCAGGTGTGCTCCTCAGAAGGTCCTGAGAGATGGGGGGGCTCAAGCCTGCTTGCCTGCTCCCTCCTCCCAGGACTGAGCCCTGGCTCACTTCCCAGAAGAGCAAACAAGGCTTGGGGAAAGACCGATGTACTCCCTGCCCTGACCCTCACACTCGCATCATGGGATAAAAGGTTATTTCTGGTTGGTTGCCTTCCAGATGTATTGTGCTTGGACAGCAACTTGATTTCAAACCACCCCAGGTCCAAGAACTTTAAATGAGAGGCCGTATGAAGCCCTGGTGGCAGTCGGGAGCAGGTCTGGCTAAGTTGCTGAGGGCACTGTCCAGCCATGCCATCTGTGGATGATGTCCTGGAGCAGGTTGGGGAGTTTGGCCGGTTCCAGAAGCAAGCCTTCCTGCTGCTGTGCCTGATCTCAGTTTCCTTAGCTCCGGTCTACGTGGGCATCGTCTTCCTGGCTTTCACCCCTGACCACCGCTGCCGGAGTCCTGGGGTGGCCGAGCTAAGCCAGCGTTGTGGCTGGAGCCCGGCTGAGGAGCTGAACTACACCGTGCCGGGCCTGGGCTCTGCGCACGGGGCCTCCTTCCTCAGCCAGTGCATGCAGTACGAGGTGGACTGGAACCAGAGCACCCTTGGCTGTGTGGACCCCCTGTCCAGCCTGGCGGCCAACAGGAGCCACTTGCCCCTGAGCCCCTGCCGGCACGGCTGGGTGTACGACACTCCTGGCTCCTCCATCGTCACCGAGGTAGTAACTAATGGGCTCTGCATTTTGGGTAATGTAGAGACTGAGAGCAACTCCTGGATGGGTCAGTGTCTTTCCAGGGAGGAAGGAGAGGTCCAACTTCCTGTATGCTGTACAATAGCAGGCTCTGCCCTGGCCTCTGTGTTTTTCCCACCAAGGACTAGAGAGGCCACTATGGAGAGCTTGTTCTGTTTAAAATTTATTTTACATGTGCCCATATATGTGGGTGTCCTGGTGTATGTGTGTGTCCTGGTGCATGCTATGTGACACCAGCTCTTATTAGCTGACTATATCTGGATAAGTTCCTCCGTTTCTCTGAGCCTTAGATCTCTCTGTAGGCAAGCAGGATTACAATAACTTCACCCACTATTAGGATCAGCTTGGGACTGGGCAGATGATCAGAAACACAAACACAATTTCATTGTTTATGGGTGGTAGGGTGTGTGAAGATATCCAAGGGCCTTGACACCATCGTTTAGTTGACTGTAGGTGCACTTGACTTTGAGAGTCTTTTTGTTTTTGTTTATTTGCTTTGAGACAGGGTCTCGCCTGATTAGCCTCTTTGTAGATCAGGCTGAACTTGAACTCATAGAGATCCTCCTACCTCTGCCTCCCCAGTGCTGGGATTAACTGTGTGCATCACCACAAGAGAGTTTAGGAAAAAAGTGCCACTAGATGTTTTTGCCCTTCATGGATTCCTCTGAGAGTGTGGGTGGTTTGTCCCAATGAGAGGTCTCAGGCCCCGGCTTGGAAGCTGTATTAGAAATATCTTGCCTGTGGCCAGGGCACAGCTTACCTGAACTGAAAGGTTGAGGCCATTGTCCTCCTTACCCAAGGCCCCCACCCTCACATAGACGACTGTTTGGGGTTTCTTCCCCTTTTCTCCCCTTTACTTAATGGTTTTAACGTCAATGCAGGTAGGACTGCTCCTGAGAGGAGTCCCTTCCCCTTGGCCTGCTCAGAGCTCCCTTTGGCACCTGCAGAATGTCTGCTGGGCACCATAATTTATGTGCTTGGATGTGGATGTCAGCCCCTGGGCATCTTCCAGTGACAGACACCAAGTGTTATGGGACAGAAAGACAGGGTGTAAGAGGTAGAGATGCGTGGGGTCTACGAGTAGTGTCTAAGGTTTCTGGCTTAGGGCGTAGGATAGGGAGCTATGGAGCCCTGGATGGGAGCCTGGCGGATGGGGCCACCTGGAAAGGGGTGGGGCCCTGCAGTGTCAGGGGCAGATGCAAGAACACAGAGAATGTTTTAGGAAGAGTTGACTGACCACACACACAGGGAGGTTTCCATGACCCTAAACTAGAGCTTGGTGAAGACATTGAATTATGTAGCGGTATTCAGAGGGACCATGGCTTTAGAAGAAAGAGTGCTATACCACTCTGAGTTTGAAAGTCAGTGGCATCCATCTGGAAGCATTCAAGGGTAATAAGAACCACACATGTGAGGGCTGGGAAAGTAGATGGCCCATTTGGTGAGCTGCCTACTGTGCAATTGTGAGGACCGTTGTGTAAACCTAGGCCTTGAGTTCAGACGCCCAGAACTCATGTTAAAAGCCAGGTATGGTAGCTCATACCCGTAACCCCATCGCTCCTGTGGACAGACAGGAAGTGGAAATAGAAGGTTCCCCCAAACCTTATGGGCCAGTTAGCTGGTGTAAGCAACGGTAAACCAATGGTAAGCCTGGGGAGATGGTTCAGGTGGCAAAGGTGCCCACCACTGTTGGGGAAGTCCTGTGCATTTGTCAATAAAGCACTGTTGGCCAATAGCGAACCAAGATAGGTGGGACTAGGAGTCCAGAAGGACTCTGGGAAGGAGAAACACAGATATAACGCCATGGGGTAGGAAGCCCCGAACTATTCTCTGATAAGAGAAATACTTAGATTGACAATTATGGGGTAATTACTTAAGTCAGAGATAGCCAGTAAGAAACAAGCAAGGCCAACAGCTTCATAATTAATATAGCCTCCTGTGTGTTTATTTGGGACTGATGCGGCTCTAGAACCAGGCTGGCGGGAAGGCTTCTCTCAAGGAAAAGGATTCCCTTTACACACCACCAAGCCTGACTACCCGAGTAGTCATGCAACTCATATGATGGTAAACTTGTAACATGAATTCAATGACCCAGAGACAGGCATTGGGGGTCAAACTTCAAGCTGAATATCAAAAAAGTAAAGCTTCTTAACCTCTACCTCAGGCTGAATGGGCTGATCCTGTCTCCATGGATGAGCTCTCACCACACCTCAGACTGTAGCCTCTTCTCAGAGTGGCTGGAGAATGAATGCCTGGTACTCCCTTCTGATACTGACTTATGTGTCTCTCATGAGTCTTGGGGTTAAAGGTGCGAGCTATGGTTCTCTTTTAGACTGATTCACTCTTGTGTGGATCTGGGTGGCCTTGAACTCACAGAGATCCATCTATCTCTTAATCCTGAGTCCTAGGATTAACGGTGCTGAGATTAAAGGTATGTGCCTAGCTTCTGTGACTTGTGACTGACTTTGCTTTCTGAATTCTTGAGTCAGCTCTAATAAATCATAGATAACATATCACTACACCAACTCCTGCAAAGTTGTCCTCTGACGTCCACGAATGCGTGTATATCACACACTGAATGTAAAGGAGAGAGAGAGGCCTGTCTTAAACAAGGCAGAATGTAAGGACTGACTCTCAAGGTGTCTGACTTCCATATGTACACCATGGCATGTGCATGCCTGCAGTCACACACATGTGCACACTCATCATACACACATGCACACACACACGTGCACACACCATGCACATATAAGCTCATTTCACACACACACAAGAACAAAGTAAGATGGAAATTGACAGAGGAAGATAATTTAACGCTGACCCCTGTGTGCAGGCACACATGAATGTGTACACGTACATACAAACACATGTGCGTGTGACGAGCACATGCACAGATCTAAAAGAAGCTCAGCTGTGGCGGGGCCAGGCAGGGCGGGGTGCGGGGTGGGGCAGTGGAGACAAGTGCTCTCTCCCATTCATGTCTTCCCTCCAGCTGCCTCACTACTTATCCCAAACCAGAGATCAGGAGCTAAGAGTAGTTACTCATTTCTGCATAACTAATTTTTAACTCGTCATTACCTTGGACATTGGAACTTCCTTTGGGGAGACAGATGGGTGACCTTTGTTTAGGTCCTACCCCAAGGCTAGGGACTGGGATCACAATGCCCCCTCCCACCAAGGGATGAGATGTTCCCTAGCTTTTGTTGCCCTCACCTGCTCTGTGAGCCTCAGTTTCACCACAGCCCGCACACCGGGCTAGCGAGAGCCGCTGGTCCTACCAGCTGTGGGCATTGAGCAATCGGAGCAGCCTTTGGACAGAGGTGAGCCGAGGTGGCCACGTTGGTGCTTCCCAAACTGACTTGCTACACGATCCACTGAGGAAGGGTGTTTGAACAAGGGCCTTGGGTGACTTTGATGAGGCAAACTTGTAAACATTGTTTTGTAGACTGGAAAAGTTGCCTAGCTCTGTTGCAACTCCTGTGGGCATAGAAGATAGGCCCAGGGACCCCCCTCCCTCTATCCTTACCTTTGTGCAGGCCCAGGTGGGGTGCAATGGATGAGTGGAGTTTGGGGGGTCTAGCTGCTGATGCTGGACAAGTTTGGGGGAGTATTGGTCTTCAGGGAGCAGTGGCCTTGGCAGGTGAGACTGAATCAGGATGGGTGGGCTTCCTCTGCCGTGGCAGCTGTCTGACTCCACAAAAGTCCCGGGGTAGAGTGGCTGTCTCCACCTCTGAAGAAGGGGACAGAGCATCCTACAGCAACACTAACTTGCAAAGATCAGACTGAAAGTTATAGCACTAAAAAAAAATAAATAAAAGACCCAGACGCTTATATTAGGGTTCAAGCTTCAAGCTGAAGATCGAAGAAGCAAAGCAGCCAAGCCAGTAGATCTCCCCTCTGCCCAGCTGAAATGGCAATCCTGTCTCCACGAATCCTCAGAGACAAAAGGCTCCGAATTCCTGCGTCCTTCTTCTATTCCTTTCTTCACCCAACCATATCCCCCTGTCTCCACCTCGCTAGTGCTGGGATTAAGGCATGAGCTCTGTTACTCTTTTAGACTGATTCAAACTCCTGTAGCCCTGGGTGGCCTTGAATTCAGAGAGATCCATCTGCCTTTGTCTCCTGATTCCTGGGATTGAAGGTGTGTGCCACCACCGCCTGGCTTCTATGGCTAACTAGTATGGCTGCTTTGCTATTTTGATCTCCAGTGACTTTAATAAATCATAAGCAATATTATCACCACAGAAAACCAACAGTGGCCAAGAAGGGATCAAATTGGTGCCTAGGGGCAGCTGTCCCATGGGCCTCTCCTGCCATGTGACTTTAGTGACAGGTCATTGTCGTGGGACACAGAGTGGAGCTACAATGGCACAGTTGGGAGAATGAAGATATAGAGCCTTGGTTGCCCAGGTGACATCCGGGGATGCTCTGTCCCAGTGTGTCCTATTCAGAGGGGGATGGAGAATTCAGGGTTTCGGAGGGACACACTGAGTGCGTCTGTGAGACATGTACCTCACAAAGGTGGGTGTTAGGCTGGGATAGGTAGAGAGAATCAGAGTGACACTCTTCAGGGGCTTGTCACCTCCCAGAGCAGCAGATGGTGTCTGGGCACAGGTTTGTGGATGTCAAGGTAGCCATTTCTTCTGGTGTTGAGTGGCAATGCATGATCTCATGTATCTTTTCAGAAAAATGAGGGGCTGGGTCAAAGAATGCACAGGCCGGTCACACAGACCTCAGCCAGCCGAGTGTAGCATCTCCAAGACTCAGAGTTTGGCCTTGTGACAGGTCAAGGGTATAGCATATACGGCAATTTTAGAATCACCGGAGAGCTAATACGATCTTAACATTTAAATTAAAATGGCTCATCATTTACCAATGTCTTGCCTCTGGACCTCACTGCAGCCCTGGAGGGACACAGTAGGAATGCTTCAGGAAACCAGGGCCTCAAGCTGCCGAGTGATTTGTTGCTGTCATACCCCACGTGCTGCTCTAGGCTGCTAGAGCCATGGTTGCACGTCACAGAGCAGAGCGGAACAAAGGGACGGAGATTGCAGGAGGGTAAGAAGAGCTGTGCCAACACTGGGGAGGAGATGCCCCATTCAGCACTAGTGCCCAGCCTCCCGGAGTCTCTCCTGTCTGCCCCACTCGGCTGTGAAGAGAACGTGACCTGCTGGACACAGCCCTCCAGCCCGGCTCAGGATGTTCCCTGCTGCCCTGTGGTTTTGGCCAGGAACATCCTTCCTGCCGTTCTCCCTCCAGGCCTCTAAACAATTGCACATCTAGGCCTGTCCTTTGTTTCTGTCTCCTACTTAATTCTACCCGTAGCTCTTGACTGCCCCTCTCTCTCAGACTCTACCCCATGAAGCTAGCTCCTACGCTGTCTTGCCTCTGTCTGAGCCCTTCCGTTCCATTGCATTCCACAGATCCTTTAGCAATAGAGTTCAATTAGATACATAGTATCTACATGCTCTGAAAAAACAAGACTTTATCTTTTTGAGATAGGCTCTCATGAAGCCCAGACTGGCCTTGAACTTACTATATAGCTGAGGATAACCTTGAACACCTAATCCTTTCGACTCTACCTTCCTGTCTACACTCTCCCAGTGGTGATGTCACAGTCAGGTTTTTCTCGGTATAGCTCTGGTTGTCCTGGAACTCATTTTGTAGACCATGTTGACCTTGAGCTCTGAGCTCTGAGATCTGCCTGCCTCTGCCTCCCCAGGGCTGGGATTAAAGGCGTATGCCATCACCACCAAGCATGCCATCACTGCCCAGCTTTTTATATGGGTGCTGGGGATCTGAACTCTGATCCTCCACTGAGCCACCTCTCTGGCTCTTGGTTGTATTTCTCTATGGAGAGCTTTCTTGGCAGTTACAAACTCGTCTGAGGATCTTTAACTGCTCTCGCTCCTTTTAGAATGATATTGTCCAATGGCAAAGCCAACAACCAATAGCAAAGCCAACAACAGCCATCTTCACTGATACAAAGATGTCGAGAAGAAGCTAGGCGTGGCGGTGGTAGATCTGTGTTGATGTTTCCTGCATCTTGGAAAAGTGTGTTAGACACAAATGATCCAGCCTGGTAGGATCAACTTCTGTGGAACAGCTTGCTTCCCCTGGCAGAGGATGGGAGTGGGGGTTTTCCCAGGGTTCTCAGTTTCCTTTTCTCTCTACTGCCGCAGTTTAACCTGGTGTGTGGTGATGCCTGGAAGGTAGACCTTTTTCAGTCCTGTGTGAACCTAGGCTTCTTCCTCGGCTCCCTGGCGGTGGGCTACATTGCAGACAGGTATGTGAAGGCAGTCCCTTTGAGCCAGCTTTTGGAGAGTGGGCGAGGGTTGAGAGTGTGGTTGGCCAGGATCCATCATGGAGAGTTCCGCAGGGGAAAATAAGTGACGGCAGTGGCTTCAGACTGCTGGGACCGATGGCAGAGAGGCTGGGCAGTTGTGGATGGGGTGTGCAAATGGGAGAGAGGAGTGGAGTCGAGAGAGGCAGGATGTGTGCTCTGAACAGGGAGGCGGCCATGGCTGTGTCTCAGCTGTTTGTGGATCTACACTCCTACCAGAGGTAGGCGTTCTAACTCAGATGCATGGAGTTTGGAAGTGTGGCTTAAGTGGCCCACGAGATACTCAAAAAGGCTGTTGGACGGGCATGGTGGGGTTTACGCGTGCCTGGTCCTGGATTCCTAATCCCTCCCATACACCTGTCTGTCTCCGCAGGTTTGGTCGTAAGCTGTGCCTCCTGGCGACTACTCTGGTCACTTCCTTGTCGGGCGTGCTGACAGCTGTGGCCCCGGACTACATATCCATGTTGCTCTTCCGCCTGCTTCAGGGCATGGTCAGCAAGGGCAGCTGGGTGTCTGGCTACACCTTGAGTAATTACACGGGGCTGGGAGACGGTCCCTGGGTCCATGAACGATAGGGGTGAGAGAGCAGGGGGATGTTTGCAGGCTTTAAGGAAAGGGAGGCAGCTAGTTGAGAGAGGGGGGGAGAGGGAAACTGAGGCTGATGCGGTATAGGTGTGAGCTCCTTTTCTCTCAGCAGTCCTATTGGTGAGGGTAGCAGGAGGATGTTCAGGAAGTGAGGCACGTAGAAGGATATTTTAATGTTGTAGAAGAACCAACAACTCCCCCCAAGCCCGACTACAGGCACAACCGACTTGAATGAAAACCTAGGATGATATCCGACAGCTAGATACAGAGACAAAAGGAGGTTCTGCCTTGAGAAGAAATGCCTCACTGTTGAGGCTCAGGTAGCACAGGGCAGCCTGAGACACCTGTACGGTGATAACGAGTGCTTAAGAAGGGCGGCCCGGGGTTGAATCCACATTCCAGGTCTGAGCAGTTGTGGGATTCCAGGCAAGTTAATTCATTCTCCGTGCCTCGGTGCTTTAGAAATGAGGATAACAGCGAGGAAGAAGGCGAAAGGGGAGCACCCAGAGAAAGCCTGGTGGCAAAGTGGCCCAGTGAGCCCGTAGGCTCAGGGGGAGGGGCATTAGCCCAGCGAGAGGCCAGACAAGGAGTTTAGGGGAAGGAGAGGTGGAAAACGGACAGACGGGAAAGAAACGGGTGGGGGTGAGGCAGGGTCTGTGGCTGGTGAGGAGCAAGGGTCAGGAGCCAGCCTGCCTCCAGGTCTCTCTCCTCCGAACCTGCCCCTGACCGCCGTCTCTTTTTCAGTCACAGAGTTCGTCGGCTCTGGTTACAGAAGAACAACGGCGATCCTGTACCAGACGGCCTTCACGGTGGGGCTGGTGGGGCTTCCTGGGGTGGCCTACGCCATTCCCTACTGGCGCTGGCTCCAGCTGGCTGTCTCCCTGCCCACCTTCTTCTTCTTGCTCTATTACTGGTAATGCTCCCCCTGCCAGAGACAGGGTGACATCCCTGCTCCATGCTGTGTCTGCTAGGCTCTGGGGGCATGAAGGGCTGCTCTGACCTCTGCCACTCCGCAGGCCACCTTCCAGGAGGCCTGAGCCCTCACTATGGTTTCTGTGGTCTGGTGCTCTCACCCAGTGCTTGTCATTCTTTTGATGTGCCCAGAGCTCCTCACGGTGTGCCGGCTGCTGTCCCTACACAGAGCGTTGTCCAAACTTGCCTCAGACAGGCAGGAGTGACACTACAAGGAAGCCCAGAGGCTGCCTTCCCATGTCAAAGGAAATGTACCTTCTTCTAGAAACACAAGGCAAGCCAGCCACAGAGAGACTGGCCTTGGGAGTCAGCCCAGAGCCAGTATTAAACAGCATGTGTTACCCAGAGGCCCAGAGACACCTTGGAGACAGTCTTCATAAAGAATGTAGCGCAGGTTGACAGACAAGAGTGGACGCGTTACTGCCATGGCTGCTCCATCCTGCAGTCCCCAGAGTTCCTGCAGTGACACAACTTCAAGTCAGGTCACCTCACTCTGTTGCCTGCTTTCTCTCCTCTGTCTCCTGCCTCCTCTCCTCACTTCCTGTCTGTCTCACAATGTGCTCACTGAAAAGGCTCTGCCTCCCTCTCATCCGACTACACAGCAGGCGCTTGATCTCCATAAGAAGGGGTTTTCTGTGAGAAAGGACCCTGGCCCCATGTGGATGTTTAGCCAGGGCATACCCGAGTTACGGGGAGACCATCACATCAGAGTCTCCATCCCTGAGCTGCAATGTCCCAGACCCGTGTGAAATGGCTTGAATTGGACATGGTGATGAATGCCTGTAATCCCAGCACTCAGGGTGGGGGTAGGGGTGGAGGATGCTGAGGCAGGAGGATTGCCATGGGGTTCAAGGCCATCCAGGCTACGTGGGAAGTGCCCAGCTATCCAGCTATCCAGGAATACATGCAAAGACCCTGTCTCCACATGATCTCAGCGTAAAACTCAGAAGCAATAGACGCTGTTTCAAAACAAAAAAAGAGAAAAAAATAGACATGAAAGGAGGGAGAAATGGCACATTGTCTATTTGATTTTAGGGCACGTGAAGCCTTTCTTTGGGAGACAGCATGGGCCTTGTTCAGCTGTTCTTGTACATATACATGTAACATGTATGTGAAGTACCTACTCAGTGAGTGTAGAACAGGGCTCCCAACTTCTAAGAGAGATGGGACCCTATTTCACAAAAAAAGGGTGTAGGGGAGCCTTGATCCCTTCTGCTTTGGGAATCTCAGCCAGTGGCTCTGAGTAGCAGTAACCTGCAGAGATCATAGATGGGCCAGCCAGCAAGGGTCACATGGCACGGGCCACAGCTGCACCCCACAGCCGAGGCCTTCCTTGGCAAGCATCTTGGGGAATCACGATCCTACCGGAGGATCTGGGGCTCCTTGGGTCAAGCCACTGCACAACTCTTGTCAAGGACTAAGGTGGGGTGAGTTCTTGGGGGGAAGGCACTACAGTTATGAGCTGTGTCTGCAGGTGTGTGCCAGAGTCCCCTCGATGGCTGCTGTCCCAGAAGAGAACCACCCAAGCAGTAAGGGTTATGGAGCAAATTGCTCAGAAGAACAGGAAGGTGCCCCCCGCTGACCTGAAGGTACTGGAATTCAGAAGGGGTCCTTCTCTTTGCGGGTTTGGGGCTGCCTCATGAACTACATGGGACCCCTCCCTGGGGTGGGGGGCTGTTGTGTGCACACAGACCAAGCGTATTGAGGACTGACTCTCTCCCAGATGCTCTGCGTGAAGGAGGAAGCCTCCTCAGAAAAGCAGACCCCTTCCTTTGCAGACCTGTTTCGCACTCCCAGCATGAGGAAGCACACCTTCATCCTGATGTACATGTGGTGAGTGCTCTACCTACACATCTCTCCACCCCCCCTCCACCCCCACGGGGGGCGGGGCTACTCTGTTGCTGTCCAAATGCTGGGTACGAATCACCCCGTAGAAAGAGTATGACAAGGAGCTGAGTGGTCATTGGGCCAGAGTCTTCTTGTGTTTTAGTAAGAGTGGGTGTGAGGTCAATGCCGAGAAGGGTGAAGAAGCCACCTCAGTCTAAGTGTCATATGTCCTGGGGGCAGCCGAGTGTCGACTTGGTGTGGGGTAGTGGAGAAGGTTCCAGTAGCTCAGTGCAGCCTTTAAGTAGGACGTATCCTTCCTCGCATCTGAAAGCCTTGTGGGCCACCTCTGGGTCCTTGTGCTCCCTGGTTCACGGATAAGGACCTTGCAGCACGTAGATGTATTTGTCCCCGTGCTTGCCAAGGACAGTTTGTGCCCCCTAATTGTTTTCATGAGGAGGAAGTCTACCTGTTCTTCCAGAGCATCAGTCAATCCTCAACACGGTCCTGCTTCCTTCTGAATATCAAGCTGAGCAGCCGTGACGGAGCTGCTGTGCTCCGGGCCCCCTCGGGACTGCCCTGCTGAGCTTTTCCATGTTATGTTTTAGTGGAGCAAAGGGCTGAGTAGTCGGGTATTACCTGACACATAGTAGGCCTGCGGTGAACGTTTGCCGAGCGCTGAATTGAGCAATCGTAGTTTCATGGACTCCTCTGATCCATTTAGATACCGGGCCTGTGGCTCCTCCCCTGCCTTAGTGCCCTTGGCCTCTGTCATTGGGAGCCTGTGCCTAGCCACAGGTGTCACAGCTATCTGCGTGTCCACTCAGAGTTAGACTTAGCAGTGTGTCTCCTCCACGGAGCACCTGTGACCCACTGCGGGTAGGAGCGGCGCCAGCTTCACCCTCTGCAGACACACTCTTTCCAAGAAGGCAGGTGACAGCTCCATTTGCTTTACTCCCGTCACCCGGCCCCTCAGCAACCTCTGTGTAAACTTGAAGCGCCCGAGGCTCTGCTTCTCGCGTGTACTCTCCGTCACGTGGGAACACTGCGAGGGGCCATCTCGTATGAGCTGTGGCGGCCTGCGGCTACCCTGCCTCTCTCAGGCTGTGCTCTGTAAGGCAGTCGCACTTCTGAATCCAACAAGAATAGAGGTGCATTCTTGGGACCTACTTGGCCTCCCATAGCTCAAACCCAGGAGACCTCCCACTTTCTCCCTCCCATGCCCTCTACTCGTTTATTGTATTTTTTATTTGTGTGTGTGTGTGCGCGCGTGCGTGCGTGCATGTGTGTGTGTGTGTGTGTGTGTGTGTGTGTGTGTGTGTATGTGTGTATGGTCAACATGAGATGCTTCCTATGTTGCCCGCCTTATTTTTTGAGGCAATCTCTCACTGGGCCTGGAACTTGCTGATTCAGCTCGATTGCCTGACCAGCCAGCCCCAGTTACAAAATGTGCCATCACGCTGGCCGGCTTTTTACATAGGTGCTGAGGCTTCGAACTCATGTTTGCAGAGTGAGCACTCTACTGAGCCATCTCCTTAGCTCATGCCTGTGTCTTTTTGTTAAGGTAAGCCGAGGACCTGCTGCCACATCTTGGCCACGTGGCTGTAAGAGAGTACCTGTTCCAGTCTGTGACACAGGGAACTCATCGGTAGTGTGAGAAATAGAATGCTGAGATAATAGGCAACTAGACATGAGTGTGGTGATCTATGTAAAGGGCCTGGAACAGTGTTGGACACTGTAGGAAATTCTGGGCACATTTTAATATGTGTATATTAAATTCTAGGGTCTTCCAAAAGATGGCAGCACTGATTCACGGATTGGTTGACCAGTTAGACAGTTTTTTCTTAAGTGTGACAGTGGGGGCTGATAGTCATTTTTTTTCTTTTCCCTGAGATAAAACAAGTTTCTTATGGATTAAAATCTTACCATTGCAATGCCAATTTGGGTGCAGTGGTGTCAGCTTCCAGAACAGTATCATTTCCCCTTAGTGACGTTAGCTCCCTCAAGTTTGGACTTGAGCTACTAATCTAATGCCTTCATTGACTATGCAACATGGTCCACGATGTTGCTTTCCTTGAATATGGATGGAGTTGATGTGGTGGGTGAAGGGGAGACCTAAATGTGTCTGATGAAGACGGTGCCGTGGGGCCGGAGACCTGGCTAGTCAAGCTCTGCATCCTTGACTTTGGAAGGACGCCGCTGATGCCCATGACAGTACCCTACCTCTGCTGTGTGTCAGGAGCGGCACTAGGCTCCTCTGTCTGTTATCTCAGTAAATAGTCACATATGCTGTCTGCTGGCCAGCACCGCCCCACTCACAGGTGAAGAGAGAAGCAAAGAGTGGTCACTCAATTTCCCCGCAGTCACACAGCTTACAAAGAGACCCGACACCAGGTCCTGGGTACTCACTTTTTGCCTGCACCTGCTTCCTACTTTGCGGGCCTGTAGGAGTGTTCCAGGTCACTGTGTGTGGGGCTCAGTACAGTCCCAGACCCCCTGAGCTTGTAGCAAGCAGGAGTATCCAGCTGAAATCTCCCCCTGCCTTCCTGTTTCAGATATCCTGGGGGGAAAAGTTTAACAGTAGGTATCTTGGGGATATATGTAAGACACACTGTCACATCGGTGGGGACACAGTTTCCTATCAGAGACCTTAGCAGGACACAGGACACTTTTCATGCCATGTAGCACATTTTGTAGCAAGTGGCACATCCTTCTGTCCAGTTGGCTGAGGTCCGTAGGGCTGGCTTTTGACTCGTGGTCTCTTCTGCAGGTTCTCTTGCGCTGTGGTGTACCAGGGCCTCATCTTGCACGTGGGGGCCACAGGTGGGAACCTCTACCTGGACTTCTTTTACTCTTCTCTGATGGAATTCCCTGCGGCCTTCATCATCCTTGTCACCATTGACCGCATTGGCCGCATCTACCCAATGGCCACCTCAAATCTGGTGGCCGGGGCGGCCTGCCTCATCATGATCTTTATCCCACATGGTAAGTCCATTTCCATTTCACTTCCCAGGTCACTGAATCGTGGCGCTGTGTCGTAACACCCTGATAAGCTTCTGGAACGAGAACAAAGGCAGGGCGTTTCCTAGGCTGGACTTGAAAGAGTTTTAGGCTGAAGTGTAGCAAACATATACTAGGCACATTCTAAGTGAATGACTCAATTTGTTAAACATACAGACATCGGGTAGCAGAACTCAGAGTCTGAGGATACTTCTAACCCTTAGTGTCCCTTGCGGTCCTCAGATAAATACCACTGCATTGCCAACCACCTCTCCTGACCTCTGTTGCTACAGATTAGCCCAGGTACATAAACAGAGCCACCTCGGATGTACTTCCCTGACCTGTCCATTATATGGGTAGGGCTTGTCTATGTTGTCACATGACTGACTGTGTAGACTTTTTTCCCCCTTAGCAGTGTATTGCTCCTTATAGAGACATCACGCCATGTGATCTCCCCTACTGATACTGCTTGTGGTGTTTGTCCATTGGGAGCAGAGCTGTGCTACAAAGTTCTTCTTGGTAGACATGGGTCCTTTGCTCCCTTGGGGACATGTCTGTGAACATACTGTCAGAACCCACTCGAGTTTAGCGGCAGTGGACTCCTGGCAGCTTTCCAAAGATGGCTGTGCCACCCGCTGCTTCCCCAAGCAGTCCCACCCGCTCTGTGGCACTTGGTTCTTCAGGTCTCCAATGGCAGTCCAGTGGTGGCTGTGAGCATTGCTTCATAATTCTTATAACCCGAGACAAACACCTGCACAGAAGGTCCAGGCAGAGTCACCCGAGGAAGTCTTAATTTAAGCTCACAAGCGGCTTTTCACATTGGAAGCAGTAGCTCCTAAGAATGTTGAGCTGCTCTCTCCCCCTTATTGCTGTGTGGTGCGCTGTGTGCCTGGGGAGCCCCTCTGCAGTCTCTCATGCAGGGTGTTATGGAAAAGACCAGAAGGTATTTGTCTTTTCTCAAGAGTCATGCTGGGCAGGACATGAATGGTAGGGTGTGTGTGTGTGTGTGTGTGTGTGTGTATCTGTGTGTATCTGTCTGTCTGTGTTTGTGTATGTGGGTGTCTATCTCTGTGTGTATGTATGTGTGTATATCTGTGTTTGTGTGTGTGTATATGTGTGAGTGTATGTATGTGTATATGTGTGTGTATCTATGTGTATCTGTTTGTGTGTGTGTCTATCTCTGTGTGTATGTATGTGTGTGTATCTGTATTTGTGTATGTATGTGTATCTGTCTGTGTCTGTGTGTGTGTCTATCTCTGTGTGTATGTATGTGTGTATCTGTGTTTGTGTGTATGCATATGTCTGTGAATGTGTGTGTATATGTCTGTGAGTGTGTGTGTGTATGTGTGTGTATGTGTATGTGCATGATCAGCCGGAGGACCCTATGTGCTACCTCTAAAATAAGACCTCTTCTCATCTCCCCCATTTTTCTATTTCTAGAATCCCGAGTAAGATTCTTTTTTTGTTTGTTTGTTTTTGTTTTTTTTTTGAGACAGGGTTTCTCTGTATTGTTTTGGAGGCTGTCCTAAAACTTGCTGTATAGACCAGGCTGGCCTCGAACTCACAGAGATCCGCCTGTCTCCTGAGTGCTGGGATTAAAGGCGTGTGTCATTCTTTATGGCCTGACATTGTTGGCAGAAGTGCAGAGGGCTAAGACCATCCTTCGCTGCCCATCAGAGCTAGGGCATTGCTGGTCCCCGCCCAGCCCAGTCCATCCTTGCTCCAGCCATCTTTTTGTTTCTTCCTAGAGCTGCATTGGTTGAATGTCACCCTTGCTTGCCTGGGCCGTATGGGAGCTACCATCGTGTTGCAGATGATCTGCCTGGTGAATGCTGAGCTGTACCCTACATTCATCAGGTGAGGTCACATATGGCAATGGACACTGAAATAGCCACCCTACAGCTAGGCAGAGAGCAGAATTTCTAAGACATTTCTGGAAGATGCTTCCAAGGGTGGGTCACTGTAATAGTTCCTTTCTTTTCTGCAACAAAATACCTTGCCAAAGTGATTTAAGAAAGGGAAGGCTTACTCTGGCTCACAGTTCAAGGTAGTACAGTTCATCATGGTGGGGATGGCATGGCTTGCCATAGTAGGAGGCTGGTTGGTCACATGGCCTTGGCAGCCAGGAGTTAGAGAGTAAACAGGAAGTGGGGTCAGACTGTAAAACCAAGGCCCACTCTTAGTGACTCAGTTCCTTGTCTTTGGAGAAATGGCCAGTGAGGTAGTTTTCCTGTGCTTGGCTCATCTCTGTGGTTGTTGAGTTATGGTTCTTGATATGTTCTGCATATCAGCCCTTCATCAGATGCTGCACTCGTATGTAATCACCTTCCATTCTGAAGGCTGTTTTTCCACTCTGTGGAGCGCTTCCTTGATGAACAGAAGTTTTCATACGGTCCAAGCAACATCTTTCATTTTTGCTGTCTACACTTCGGTGTTTTTTTTCCCTTAAAGTCTCACATACACAGAGTGAAAATGGCTTTTTCTAAAATACAGTTTGATGAGTCTGGGTGATGTATGTATAGCATGCACATACATGTTTATGTGTATTACTCTTCAACTCTTGGCACAACCAAAATACAGCATATTCCCATTGTCCCCGCCAAGTTTCTTCACCTCTTCACAGCAAGTCCTCTTGAAGACCCCGTTCTGTCCACATGGGTTTGCCTCCTCTGGACCACCAGCAAATAAAAGTCACGACGTGTGGCCCTTTGTCTGGCTTCTGCCACTAATTATGATGAGCTGTATTTACCTCACTGTGTTTGTCAATGCCTTGTCCTTTCCTGAAATGCGTCCCAGAGTGTGGATGTCCCTGTACCTGCTTTTCCATCAGCAGGTGAATATTGCTGCCAACACAGGATGGCAATGAGGCGGTTACTGCCAACACCCATGTGGAACCTTTGAATGGATTCATGTTTTTGTTTGACTCGGATGAATGCAGGGATAGAATTGCAGGGGTATACTTACATATGTGTGTGTTTAAGCTTATTTAAAAAAAAAGACAACAGTAAACCTATTTTCCAAAGATACTCTATCTTTTTCATCCTTCAGGAATGTGTTGGGAATTGAGGTTAGTTTGGTATGGCCACTTTGAGGTCCTCTTGGGAGGTAGAGATATCATGGTAGTTTTACTTTTCCTATATCTGGATGATGCTTAGTATCTGTGTGTGAGCTGATTGCCTCCAGTGTTTTAAGAACTTAGTTGTTAGAGTTATTTAAAACACATTTGTCGTGTGTGTGTGTGTGTGTGTGTGTGTGTGTGTGTGTGTCTGTGATAGCTTGCATGTAGAAGTCAAATGACAAGTTGCAGGAGGTTGCTCTCTCCTTCTACCACATGGGTCTTAGGGATCGAACTCAGGTCATTAGGCTTGGCAGCAGGCACCTTTACCTTCTGGTCCTTGTCTTTAGCCCTAAGATCTCAACTTGAAGAGAAGATTATTTTAATTGTAAAAGTAACTACTTTATTCGAGCTTTAAAAAAAATGGACACTATCCTAACCTGACCTTGGGTAGAATTTGGCTTGTTGCCTTAAATTATTTTTCCCTTGTATAAATTATTTCTGCTCCATTTGTTTTGTGACAACGTCTAAGAAATCCTCCATTTTCATTGACACCTGCCGCTTGGCCTACTCTTTTATGCCCTCTGCCAGTCCCTTTATCAAAGAGTGCATTTTAGACTCATGTTTGCAACAAGTTGCTTGATCTGAGTACAAGGAGATGAAGGGAAGCTAAGGAGAAAACTTTTTACCAGGCCTTACAGGGCTAGATAATGAGACGCTTTCTCAAAAACCCAAACCAAACCAAAAATAAAATCCAAAACAAATAAGAACTACAAAAACCAAGAGATGGGGGTGGATGGGTGGGGAGGATCTTCTGTGTTAGTACTTTTGAGCTCAGAGTCTAAAAATGAAAGTCAGGACAAACAAGCCTACTGTCATGGGCTGCCAGATCCAGAGAAACGGTCAAAGGTACTGTGTGTTACTGTAACAAAATAATGGGACAAACCAACTTTTAAAAGGGAAAGGTCCAGCTTAAATCCTGTTCCCAGAGGCTTTAGTCTATGGTCACTTGACTGTGTTGCTGTGGGGTTGGGGCTCAAGATAGCACAAAACATTCCAACTAGAGAGATAAACAGAGACAAGGAAGAGGAAGGACTGGGATTCCCATCGCCCACTTAAGGCACTCCTGCTAACCCAACTTCGTCTCATCAAACCCTACCTCCCAAAGGCTCCGGTATCTTATTATAGTGTATTGATATCTTGCTTGTGCAAATAAAGTCTGTCTGAAGGTCAGAGAATGGAGCTTACCACTAGCTAACCACAGAGGCCTGGAGGTCTGTGCAGACAGACAGGAAGTAAGATAGTCAGGCGGAAACAGGATATAAGCAGGGAGAAACAGGAACTCACTCTCTGGTCTGCTGAGATGCTGAAGGAGGTAAAGGTGGCTGTGGCTTGCTCCTTCTCTCTGATCTCTCCACATTTCCCTCTGTATGTGACTCTGGGTTTTTATTATCTAGACCAATTAACAACTCCAGTTACATGATAGCACCACTGGTCAGTGACCAACCGTGTGACACACAGGCTTGTCCGAACACTTCCCTAAACAACAGCAGTTATCTAGTGCCTGGTCCTCTATGGAGGAGGTCAGATGGTGCCTTCCTGAACGCCCCTTTCTAGTATGCACTGAGTGATAAGCGTTCTCAGACAGTAGGAGAGGAAGCTGGATGTCCAGAAACAACCTTAAACCTGATGCCTATATATACACCTCCATGGGAGTTCCAGTGTTTACAGTCAAGAGAATCAAATGCAGACAGCAAAAGGCACTCATTCCGGCCACCCATTACTTTGTAAACACTCCCAATTCAAAGAAGGACCGGCACTCACAGGGCGGGGTCTGAGCTGAGTAGCTGTCTTCACACTCTGAGCATCAATCTCATGTGGTGTTGATAACAGACATCGCCTGGTGTAAATCTGGGTCTTCTAAACTTAGCCACACACAGATACTGTGCTCTCTTCCCAAGTGACAACACATCACAGCCCTGGGTCGGGAGAGTGGTAGAGCTACAGTTTAAGTCAGAGAATGAGTATGCTTGCTCATCTCCCTTGGGCCCTTCGCTGGCCTTGAGGAGTGTCCGGGCTAAGTATGTGGGAGCACAGTTGCAGAGGTAGGCTGTCTTTCCAGCTGTTGGAGCAGCGCTCAGCCCACACCTACGTCTGTGCTCGCCTGCCACCTTCTCCCTGCGCAGCTCTTCCCCAGCCCTGTGGTTTTGGGGGTCCTGAGCGCCTGCCTTGATCTCGTGCTCGCTCTGGGATGCTGTGAACACCTTGAAGATGAAACGTGAACGTGACCTGTTGGGTCTCTGTGTCTCCCCAGGAATCTTGGGATGATGGTGTGCTCCGCCCTGTGTGATCTGGGTGGGATCTTCACCCCCTTCATGGTGTTCAGGCTGATGGAAGTTTGGCAACCCTTGCCCCTCATTTTGTTTGGTAAGCTATTCCCTCTTTCTGGCCTGGTGGAGCGCATTGTGTAAGCAATCAGCAGCCGCTTGTGGACTGAGTTCAAGGATGGGGGCACGGGCTTCAGCTGTCTCCTGACTCTTTCCACCTTGCATTTGAGGACATAGTAAGATGTAATTCCCATGTCGTGGTCAGATGGTTTCACCTTGTGGCTCCAGAATCCATCAATCCATCCTGCAGTCTACAGGCTGATAATATTTTTTATGTAATCTGCTGCTTTCTTGTGCATTTCTTTTTTTTCAAAAATTTATCTTTATTTCATGTGCAGTAGTTTGCCTGTATGAGGGTGTCAGGTCCCCTGGAACTGGAGTTACAGACAGTTGTGAGATGCCATGTGGGTGCTGGGAATTGAACCCAGGGTCTCTGGAAGAGCAAACAGTGTTCTCAACTGCCAAGTCATCTCTCCGGTCCCGTGCATTTATTTTCTTATTTGTTTGCATTGAACATGCCATTGCCAGGGGTATGATGGTGTTGAGTGATTATCCCTTTCTGAGAGTGGTGATGCTCATCTGTTGTCCCGGCACACTGGAGACCGAGGGAGGACAGCCACAGAAATAAGGGCCTATCTGTGAGACCCTGCTTCAGAAAATGAGGAGACGGCACAAGAAGACACGTAGGAATCTGTGTCCTCTTTGCTGATAAGGCTGGACCGGTGAAAGAGGATAGGAATACCATTTCTGTCTCCCAACACAGAGAAGAGGGGTTCTAGGACATGCTCACCCACCCGCAGAAGGCTGGCTGTGTGTGCAGAAAAATGCCCTGCCTGGCACAGGCCAATACAGGAGAAAGGCAAGGGAGGGAGAGAGTTAGAGAATGGGCTGGAGACAGAGGGAAGGAAGGGAAGAGAATAAGAAAGGGATGGGGAAGAAAGGGAAGAGGGAAAGGAGGAGTGGAGAGAGTAACAAGAAGGGCACATGTAGGTTGGCCATGCTCTCCAACTCTGTCTCCATCCCTATCTCTACACTTACGTACCTATGTATCTGTCATCTCTGTATCTATGTGGGTTTCTCTGTCTTTTTAAAATTTCTTTCATCTTTCATGCATGTATGAATCTATCATCTGTTTGTGCATTTACCACATAGCATTATCATTTGACTAGGTAGCTATCATCTATCTATCTATCTATCTATCTATCTATCTATCTATCTATCATCTATCAATCTATCTATCTATCATCTATCATCTATCTATCTACTTACCTACCTATCTGTAACTATCATCAATCAACCAATATATCTCTATCTATATCTATGTATCTATTCTCTCTATATGTGACATCTATCTATATTAATAAATACATCATCTATCATCAACCAATATCTATCCATCATCTATCATCTAGCTATTTACCAATGCATATATCTTTCTACTTATCTACATCTATCAGTCATCTATCATAATAACAATTTAAAACTGATATTTACAGTTTTTTCTTCAGGCATTCAACATTAAAAAATCCCCTAATACTTAAACATTAGTTACTTTGGAATTTTATGCTTCTGGAGAAGCAAACTGAAGGCAAATATTGCCTTGTCTTCCTCTTGCATTTCTCCCAGTATCCCATTGCCTCCAGTTCTTTCCTGAATGTTCTTGATCGCTTTCAAAGACAAACAGCACCTCTTCCCCACCCTCTCTGTCTCACTGCACTCATGGAAGAGCAGTGAGCTCGTTCTAACACTCTTCCTTGGACTCTGTTTCATTTGTAGGGGTTTTGGGACTGACTGCTGGGGCCATGGCATTTCTTCTCCCAGAGACCAAGGGTGTGGCTTTGCCTGAGACTATCGAAGAAGCAGAGAACCTACGGAGGAGGTGAGGGCTGTGATGCTGGGACGGGAGGGTGTGGTCTCATCCTCTATAAAGGGTCACAGCATCGGTGCACACTCTCGTTTACTCTCCCTTGAGGGTTTGGGAGAGCTTTTCAGATGTTTGGGCTTGGGTTGTCCTCCAGAGATGCTGGAGATGGGAAAAGAGCTCAGACACTGAACTCTGCAAAGAAATCAGCGAAACAGACACTGCTTCTTAGTGGACGGTTGTCCCACACTGCATCCGGGATAGTGACAGTTGTCCCACACTGAATCAGGGATAGCGACAGTTGTCCTATGCTGAATTGGGATAGTGACAGTTGTCCTATTCTGAATCAGGGATAATGGACAGTTGTCCCACACTGCTTCAGGGATAGTGACATTTGTCCCACACTGGCCAGGGGCACTAGACAATGTGTTTCCCCACCTCCTTCTAAGGTCCCAGTGAAAAGCTAAACTTTGGTCCTACCAAAATTAATCCTGGGGAACAAATGAGTTTATTAGGCTTACTTACAGATGCTGGGTCAGGACTTATAAGTAAAATCACAGGTGACCCAAAAGCAGCAGCATTGGGAAGTCAGTGCTCGCTTGGATGGAGGACCTTCTTCTAGGCTGCCTCAGTGTGTTTACTCTAGCTCCTCCCTGCGACCCCAAGGCTGTATGTAATTGGGGCAGGACTGCATAGAACCTGCCAGGAGGAGTGATTGATACTTAGTAGAGGGTCTAATGGCCCTCCCCACATCCTCTTGCCAGGAGGGGAATGTCAACAGACCCAGCTGGATGTTCTTTGCGGATACAGCTGTCTGATGAAGATAGTGGTTGTTCTGCTTGGAGGATAGTACTGTTCAACACTCATTAAGATCCAGTTAGGGCTGCCGATTAGAATGTTGACTGACATTATTGGCTTGATCTTATTCAGGTCTTGTGTTGGTAATCACAGTTGCAGTGAACTCATGGGTGCAATGGCCATGTCTTATCATGTCCAGGAGACAGTACTCTTACATAGCACTCTTCCCCATCCCCTGGGTTTCCATTTTCTCTGTCCCCTCTTATGCAATATTCCCCAACTCTCAACACTGCAAATTTCTTTATCAAGATGCTGACTGTTAAGCTGAGCATAATGGCTCATGACTGTCATTCCAACACTGGAGACACTGAGGCAGACTCATCTATATGGTGGCTTTGAGATCAGCATTTTTACATAGTAAATGACAGACCAGCAACAGTTACATCACAAGACCCTGTTTCAAGTATCAGACAAGCAAAATGTTATTTTTTATTCACTAACCTTAATTTTTATTTATGGTTGCTACAGGAAATCAAAGGCCAAAGAAAACACAATTTATCTTCAGGTCCAAACAGGCAAATCCCCAGACATCTAACAGGGACCCTGTGCCAGGAGCTGAGTAGCAGAGAGAAAGGGGGACTCACCACTTGGAGAATTCCCAGAAGCCTTTGCATTCCTATACTCTTCTATGTTGCCCATTTCCAATGAATATCAATTCTAAAGACTTTTCTGAAAGTGCATTGTCTTGTGTTTTTCTTTTTTTTCTTTTCTTTTTCTTTCTTTTCTTTTCTTTTTTTTTTTTTTACTTCTGAAATGCCCCGTCTGTCCTGGTGAAAATTGCTGGTATGGTTGTTACAGATAGTTCACGCCTTAAAGCATTGGTTCTCAACCTGTGGGTCATGAACCCTCCCAAAAAAACCATTGGAAAACACAGATTATGAAGTAGCAGTGAAGGTAATTTTAAGGTTGGAGGTCACCACGACATGAGGAACTGTATCAAAGGTTCACAGCCTTCGGAAGGTTGAGAACCACTGCTCATTTAGTAGACTCAACAGCCCTTTAAGCATGGCTGCCCTAACAGGCCTTTGCTTTTCTGTAGTAATTGCTACATTCATCTCTGAAGGAAAACACCTTTAAGTATTTACATTGTCAAAAGCATTTTAGTTGGGGCTGGCTTGGAAGGGAGTTGGTTTTTTAAAATGGCAGTCCCCAGTCATGTTCATTACATGTAATGGGGACAAACATATTACTAGACCAGAATTACGATGACCCTTTTAGAAAGACATTTCTCCCACCTATGTTTTGGGAATAGGTTGTTCTGCTCCACTCCTGGTTTTGGGTCTCATTGATGAGGTCAGAAGGTAAACTTCCATGGACACAGTACAGTACAGTATCACAGTGAAAAGGAATTCATTTTGTCTGGAAATCAATTTGGGTTACACACAAGCTATCTGGGCTCATGTCTGCTGTAGATAATGCCAGCAGCATCAGATAGAGTTTGGACTCATGTCTGTTGTAGATAATACCAGCAGCATCAGATAGAGACCAAAGGCAGGAAGCTGGATGAACTGTCTGGAAGGAAAAGAGATTAGAATAAAACCCAGGATGATATGAAAGAACAAGGAATTCTTCAATATGAAGAGCTGGGAAATTTCTGGGGAAAATGCAGACATGTAACGTAAGCCACTCCTCACCGAGCTGCTCACAGGAGGGGGTGGTGTGCTTCTGTTCCTCCAGCACGTAAATCTGGTAGAAGACACGCCTGCTCTTAAGGGGAAATTCAGACCCACTCAGCAATTTAGTGACTTCAGTGTGCCAGGAACTCAATGTCTGCCATCTGAAGAGCTGTGTTGACTTTCCATCTTGGTGTATGTGCGTGTGTGGTGGGGAGGGTATTCATTATCACTATATAAAAAGAATGGACTTTCTACTTCATTCCCAAGAGGGGAAAACATTGGAAGACTCAGCTTCTCATGGCCATGGCATGCCTTTACATATATGTGTTCATGTGTATTCTCTTACACACATATGTGTAAGTCAGCATAAGCAATAGTATATAGAGGCTTGTTTTCATTCCCTTGTTGGGCACTGGCCATCATTATCACCTGGCGGTGGCTTCCTGGCACCCTTGACCTGTGGAATTGCTCGTGGTCTCTATCATGATTGAGCATTTTCTTTTAAAATGTGTATTTACTTACTTGTTTGTTTTATTTTGAGATACAGTCTTGTGTAGATCAAGCTGGCCCTGAACTTGCTATGTAGTTGAAGATGACCTTGGGTTTCATCTCTTGTCTTCCTTCCTTCACTTCCCATGTGCTGAGTGGGACTGCAGGCCTGTACCACCATGCTTGGTTTTATGTGGTGCTGGGGGTGGAACCCAGGGCTTCCTGCCTGCTAGGCAAGCATTCGACCAGCCCATGGTTTGGCATCTCACAATCGCTGTCTGTGGGTCTGAGGAGATGGCTCCATGGTTTAAAGCACCTGTTGCTCTTGCAGAGGACAAAAGACTTGGGTTCAATTCCTGGAACCCACATTATAGCTTAAAACCACCCATGACTTCCATTCCAGGGGACCTGACAACCTGTCCTGGCCTCTGCAGGTGCCAGGCATGCACATGGTACATATACACACATGCAAGCAAAATAGTCAAATGCATGAAATTTTTAAAAATCTGTAAAAACTGCTGTTTGGTACTATTTTCTTAAAAGGAAAAAAATGAAGATTTATAAAGCTTGGATGTTATTGTTATAATTTAGGATGTCATTTTGTGGGAGGAAAGAAAGCAAAATTAATAGAAAGGTCTTTCACACGAGGGACTTGCAAGGATGAGAAACAGTAGCTAAATGAAGAGGCATCTGTTTTCACACAAGAACACAACACCACAGAGCAAACCATAATTTGCTAAAATAGGATTTTAAGAAGGGGTATTGTGACTAGGCTTAGGAACAAAAAAAGGGAACAAGTTCTTGAAAGCAAACGAGAAATTTTGCCAAAGACCAAGGCCTCAGAGATGTCCAGGGCAGGGTTAAAGAGACAAAGATGCCTAAATAAGGAAGGCTGCAGAGGGCCAAGCAGAGACAATTTCAACACTCCGGAGACAGTAATTATGGTCCCTCGGAATAGGTTTGGCTCTATAAAGAGAGCAACAGCCCTTACAGAGAACAAATAATAGAATTTGCGCCAATGAAAACACACCCGCGAGCTTCTATAACGTTTGTAAACTGTTCTATCCATTCAACTCAACTAGCATGAGCCTTGTGCCGGGGATTAACAGCGCAGCTAACAATCACGCCCAATGAAGAGATGAAGGAGGGACAATAAAGAATGCTTACGGGGGACCTGCCTGTGGCTTGATCATTTTCTACTAAACCTGTTGGCTGCCCAGAACCACAGTGGCTTAAGAATCGAGGTGAACAATCTCAGAATCTTCATCTGATGGGTTTGGAATAGACAGTATAAACTGCTTGGTCTGCAGGGTGAGATCCTGGCAGGCAGAGTGCTCTGGAGAGACAAGTCATCACCTTGACTGCGGCGTGCAATGCCACACTTATCTATCGCTTTGTAAATCACAAAGCATGCTTTGGAGCTGACATACGGTGGTGGCCAGTGTTAACTATCAACTTGGCAGAATTGGAATCACCTGGAGCATGCTGTGAGGGGTTGTCTTGATGACACGGAGTGGGGAGACCCACTTTAGTTATGGGTGGGCTTTTCCCTAGGCAGGGGAACCCGGATTGTATAAAATGCAAAAAGAGGGGCGAGTGCCAGCATCCATCGCCCTCCTGATTGTGGATGTGGTGTCACAGCTGCTTCAAGCTCCTGCTGTCTCGACTTCCTGTCATGGTGGACAGAACCTTGCACTATGAGCTGAAGCAAAGTCATCCTCCCTTAACTTGTGATTATCACAGGAACAGGAAAGGAAACTAAGAGATATAAAAAAGTAAACAAACAAAACTAACGAAAATACACTTAAACAGTTTTAAGATTTATTTTTATCAACTTACGCATCTTTTAAAAAAAATCATGTTTTGTGTGTGTATATGAACATGACTGACCAGGCTCATATCAGGTCTGACTTAAATCCATATAGGAACTCAGATGATGGAAGCGTATGTGGCGAATTCGAAGACGTAGCCTTCAGGGGTTGCTCATGTCCCTTTAAGCTGCCCCCAGTGAACTCACTGACTTATAAGAGGTTGCACTTGTGGGGGTTGTCCCTGGGACAATCAGATAACAATAAAACAGATGACCAAAGTAATACTGGGAGAGACAGTCACTAATGATGACAGAGGTGTGGGAGCATGTGAACAGACCCCTGTACCCCACAGCTAATTTAGAGTAATTGCATAACCATTTCCCTATTTTCTGGAATAGAATATGTTAATATACTCATATCACGGTTTCTGAATGAATATGGGGCCTTTTTCTTTTCCTGCTGAGGAAGGGTTAGTAAAAAGAGTCTTCTCTCGGCCCCCAATCTATCCAAGAAGATAATTGTGAAGCTATAGAAAAGTCACCTTACTCGGGGGACATTTGAGTAGCTGTGCATTGTGCTCCAAAGGGCAGCTTGAGGTACACAACGGAAATCCTAAAGTAAGAGAGGGAACTCTGTGCAGTGTCCACATGCCCAGCCCACTCCTGCCAGCAGCCTGCTGCAGTGTCCACATACCCAGCCCACTCCTGCCAGCAGCCTGCTGCAGTGTCCACATGCCCAGCCCACTCCTGCCAGCAGCCTGCTGCAGTGTCTACATGCCCAGCCCACTCCTGCCAGCAGCCTGGGCAATGGACTGCAAGGGAGAGCCCAGAGTAATTGAGGTAAGGACTACTCAAGTCCCCGCCCCCAGCTCCCACTGTTTTCTGCTTACAAACCTACACAGCACAAACACTTGGCGTCTAAGAGCCTTGCTCGCTCATTTATAGAGCTTTGTTTAGCGGGGGATGCCTGCATCACTCCCCTCGTGGCAGCTTCAGAGTTCCTGGAGTCAAGTTTAAAGGGGTCTTTGCCTTTAAGTTATTCACTCCCAGGATCCATGACACACAAGAGTACAGTGCTTCACTCGTGTCCACGATGTGAACCCTGTATTTTAAGGAGGGTTTGAGCTAAGAGGTGCACACTTCCGCGCCTGGCCTTTTCTGTGGATACTGGGTTCTACGCTCAGGCCTCGTGCTCATACGTAAGCTCTGAACTGACTAAGCCTCTTCCAGTCCATGCTTTTTTTTTTTCTCACAGTGCCTCACACTTCCATGTGATGCCTCCTGCAGAGGAAGAACCAGAAACCCATGGCCTACAGACTTTGGTGATGCCCAGATTTGGCAGATACCATACCTGGGTCTCTTGCACAATTGAATGTTTTCTTGGAAGAGTGAGGAGAATTGTAGGAAAATGCCTGGGAAGATACGGTCTGGTGGAACCTCCAGGCGATGGAGCAAACACCTTTCCCTTCTGCTGGAAGCTCACCCTAGAGCCAGCCTGACCCCAGCACAGTAAACAACGAAAGCAAACACATCTACCTTACTGCAGCTGCCATCCCAGAACCAGCTGGTAGAGGGAGGGCTTCATAGTTCATGCAATCAGTGGTGGCCCCATAAACACTTCTGGTAAATGCTTGCTTTTAAAAATAGTCGTTTCTGGGCGAGCGTAATCCTCCTGCCATCTTTGCCAACCCCACTGCCATGGTTGGGCTGCAGCACACGCAGGTCATGACCTTTCCTTTCTAAAGAACGGGGACCTCTGT